AGGGATGAGTCGTCTACTTGTGGACAGTCGTCAATCTTGAGGATTGTGTGCACTTTGCTGTCGACGGTTGTGGCCAACAGTGAGAGCTGTGAGAAGAGTTTCATGCGTTCCCTCTGTTGGCCACTCCGTCGCGAAGGAGTGGATGGCGTGAGTGGTGTCTGTGGTGTCTGTGGTGTCTGTGCTGTTGGTGGCGATGGTATGGCCGATGAACTCATCGTAACTGACAGTTGGCGTCAATCTTGAAGTACAAGGGATTCCATAATTCACTTGAAGTCACATTCAATTGCAATTCAATGTTGTTTACAATCAAATGTTGTTTACATGTATTGCCAGTGAATAGCGTTGTGTTACGCATGCGTTCACACATTGGTTCACAACAACACCCGCTTTACGCTGTTATAACTTATACTGTACAGTACTATAATAGCGTAAAGCATTGTCACATATTACGTTCGCACTTGGGGGAGGGGGTGTCGGCCAACGAGGGTCAAAAAATTTACATTAGATCTATGAGGAAAAAGTGTCTCAGAGCCGCACTTTCATACAACATTTTTGTGCGATTTTGTTGTATGAAAAGTGCGGCTCTGGTACATTTTTTCCCCATAGACCTAATATAAAATTTTCAAAAAACAAAGTCGAAAATTTCGAATATGGGCTTAAATTTGACAAAAATCCGTGATCTTTAAGAAATTGGGGCCTTCTATCGGATGACACTTAGAAATTGTGCTACACTTAAGGCCAGACTCTAACCGCAGATTTGTAGTAAAATGCACAATATTTTCATTTTACAGTTATCATTCACATAATGATATAATGTCAAGGCCCTTGCCTTGGACACTTGACCTTCATTCTTGAACAATCCAGGTTATTCCTGTACATTTGGTCAGTCTGATTATGAAGTTAAAAGTACAAAATATGTTTTATTTAAAGAGTTAAGGTGTTTCTGGCTTTTCATGACCATGGGCACAAAAGCAATGCAAAATCGGTGCATTATTTACATTAAAAAACATAATTTTATATACAAGTAATGTTTGATTCATTGCATGATTCGATACTTTATTGAACAAAACTTTAATATTTCTAATAAAATAATTTTTTTTTTCTGTGACTAATGCACCAATTTTGCTCTGCTTTGTTGTCCTTATTCATGACTTTATATAAAATATTGATACAGTAATACTGTATGAAACAAATATTTTCTAAACCATTACATACACAAGGAGAAAATAAGTCTGACGGGCCTTAAAAATTTATTACGAACGTGTTTCAATAGTTATCAAGACCAAATTTATTTTACAGATATGGAATCTCGGGACGCACAACATATAATTTTTTGAATAACCCAGCTACGTTTTTTACTGAGCAATTAAGCAAAATTTACCCAGCTAAAACTAAATTATATAAAAATTTTCTGACTTCACCGATAAATAAAGCATAAAAAATAAGTCGACACGTGTATCGGCATTTCAAATATAAATCGTTAATAAGCGTAGAGGGACGATTTATAAAGTCAATTTTCCTATAGAAAGTCCCACTGATTAGGAGTTTTTCCTAAATTTGTTACAATCAATGCTTAACCGCTTCTCAGATGTGGTCGCAATTCCTAATCATTGGGACTTTCTATAGGAAAATTGACTTTATAAACCGTCCCTCTACATTTATTAATGATTTATATTTGAAATGCCGATACACGTGTCGACTTATTTTTCATGCTCTATCTATTGGTGAAGTCAGAAAATTTTTATATATTTTGGTTTTAGCTGGGTACATTTTGCTTAACTGCTCAGTTAAAAACGTAGTTAGGTTATTAAAAAAATTATATGTTGTGCGTCCCGAGATTCCATATCTGTAAAAAAAATTTGGCCCTGATAACTTTAGAAACACGCTCGTNGGAGTGGCCAACAGAGGGAACGCATGAAACTCTTCTCACAGCTCTCACTGTTGGCCACAACCGTCGACAGCAAAGTGCACACAATCCTCAAGATTGACGACTGTCCACAAGTAGACGACTCATCCCTTATCCTCCTATCCTTACCCAACGGACCGTCCGTTCAAACGTCGGCACCAATTGGTCACTCGTTTCACTCATTTTGTATTACTTCACAAACTGGTCAACGAATATATGGCGGCAGTTATGTCTTCAGTCACTCCAATGTGATCCCCGGCAACACTGCCAGCAATGGTAGCAGTGATACGGATGCTGTCAATACGGGTGTTGTCTATACAACCAGAGCGTTGGTTGCGTTGACTGTACGGCCACTTGTGGACCAACTGTACCGCTGTCTGGAGTGGTGTGTGGTTAGGGGTGATTGTAATTCCCGTTGGATTAGATGTGTCTCTCAGATGCGTTTACCACCAAAAGGCAAATGCATTCAAATTGTTTTCCCAATAATCACCTCAAGTTAGTATTGATATACATTGTATGAATACATTGATTATATGATTAATTAATTGATTGCTTCAATTACTCTTGACATTCAAAGATGTCAACCATAGGCAGCAGTTGTGTGCCTGCGATGCAAGTCAGGGCACGTGTGACCACTTGACTCACTACAAAAGTGATGATCATTTTGTGATAACAATACTGAGACCGTTGTCTACTCTACCGCTCTTTGATTACTCATTGCGTCGACTGTTTAGCCAAGTGTTAAGTGTTGACCAGTTTTTGCTCTGTTATTGTTGTGCGTTAATTGAGACACAAATATTGATCATAAGTAGTGATTACTATGTGTTGATGTTAGTGGCGGAGTCGTTGTCCGCTTTACTCAACCCATTCAAGTGGCAACACGTCTACGTCCCGATTCTGCCCAACAAATTAGGTATTGATTGCATTTGATGTGACAATGATTGGTAATAACCATTGCAATGATTGTGTCTATAGGTCTTCACTATTTAGACGCTCCCACGCCTTATATAATGGGAATTAGGAAGAGCCCAGACATACCTCCGGCCAATCAGCTAATGGTCGGTTGCCTTATAGACTGTGATGAACACTCAGTTGAGCTCAATGTTGAGCCCTCTCTGCTAGTGATGCCTCCCTTTATGGACACTCTTAAGCAAGAATTAGAGACTTTATTGAATGCCGATCTGAGACTCAGTTGTTTGGGTACAGGTGTGAGCGGACACACCAAAAGTGCAACACTTCAAAGATTGACAGAATTGGCCAAAAAACATAATGTTATTAACGATGAGTTCACTTATTTGGATGATTTAAAACTCAATCAACAAATCAGAGTTGTCTTTCTTAAGACTATGCGTAAACATATTCTTCATAAATATCAACAATTTATCATTTATAATAGAAAAGTATGTCTTCATTGATGTAACAGTAATAATGAATAATTTGTAACACAATATATTGATTACAGGACTCTATCCTATTTGATACGGTGTCTTATCTGTCAGATAGACCACAATCTATGCAACCATTTCTTCAGCAATTTGTTTCCACACAAATGTTTGTCACATTTATTGACGAAATGGGCAAACAGTTGATTCGCAAACACAAGACCATTGCTAACAATACTTGTTCTCAACAATCACTGTATGAATCCATATATGACGACGACTTCGAGGAATTGGATCTCTCCTTATTTACTGACCAAATACTCGAATCTCGTTTCCAAACGGCTAAACAAATATCTCTCCAAGATTTAGAGCAAATACCAACTGTAGACTCGACTGCATATGTTTGTTACGACGCCTCACAACTGTCCACAACAGCCATCGCCTCTCCGCGCACTCGAAGACGATTCCACACATTATCTCAAAAGAGTACGAACTTAACCAACACTTCACTCGCAGTCGGCTCACCATTGGGCTCACCATTGAAGGCAATGCCGGCCGCACTCACAGCGCAGACTAATTGGCGAGTTGTGGAAACGCTGATGAAAGAAGTGAAAGTATGATTGCATTTGAATGAGGCATTCATTGTTTGACATTTCTCATAATTTGAAACAATCCATAGATTAAAACCAAACGAATATTGTTGGAGAAGATGGGAGTGGAAGAGGTGGGCCCTCTGGGTTGCGGTACAGTGGGTGGTGTTGAAGAGAACACGTTGATAGCGGCACTCTGTGACCTCATTGAGCGCATCTGGTCTCACGCGCGCACCGATGATAATAAGGATGTGTCCAATAAGTGGCAATCGGGTCGCTGTTCCTTTTGGTCACATCTTATGGCTTATTATCAATTGGAAACCAACGATGCCATCGATGGCGCCAAACATAAAGCCATTGATTCATCGCAATTAACTCCTGGTAATTCATATATCAATATTTTTATATCTAACACACTAGTCTCCATAATATGCATTATTATAATGCATTTTAATTTAGTACTATAATTATTAAATAATTGTATTAGTATTATAAATTACATAACTTATATTAAATTATATTATAATGTATAATGAATATTTTCTGTTTTACCATATACTGTATACTATCTGTCATATGACTGAATGAATGTCTGTATGAAAATTATTTCCTTTATTATCTATTATCTATGATCTCTTCACTATCTATTGGTTAAGGCTTGGCGTGGATTTTATTCAAGAAAAGAATTGATTGTATGTCTGTATTAACTATTGTTTCTCTTCACATCTCTTGATTGCTATTCAAATATAATAATTCACATTTCTCATTAAAAGTGTTTTATGTCTTATGATTAAAGCATTGTCTCAGATGTCAATGGATTCGTCGCCACAATCGACTCCTTCCTCTCCTTCCAAGTCGTCACAAGTGAATTACAGTATCAATAGTAAGAGTCCATTCAAATCGTTGCCCACAACTATTTTATACGATATCAGGTATGAAAGTATGACACGAGTTATTGCTTGATGTTATCGTCAATTGTGATTCTCATTTGCAGATCTGTGCGATTGATGGCAGACATTAAGACAGATGTTGGCAAATGNTAAAGAGCGTTACACACAAAACCGTTACACAACCAGGGGTTGGGAGGGGTTTGCCATAGGATTTGCATATAGAAGGGGACAGAGTTTGTTTTCAAGTGGTGTTTTCACTGTAGGTGCATAGCATTTACTCTCTCACACTCGCACGACTAATATATACACACATAACTCATAGATATAGATATAAAGGGATTAAAGTTTTGTTTTGATTTATATCCGGTCTATTGTTTTGATGTTTAAATGCAAAATACATTAGGTACAAGTAAACCTCTTTATATGTAACGATTGAGTAAAATGCGTTTATATTAAATGGGCTAAGTGTACTCGTGTCATATAACTGTAATGTAAAGTGTTATATGACGTCATATGACAGAACTAACAACACTAGTAAAGCGGGTGTTGTTGTGAACCAATGTGCGAACGCATGCGTAACACAATCCTATTGACTGGCAATACATGTAAACAACATTTGATTGTTTGAATTGCAATTGAATGTGACTTCAAGTCAATTATGGAATCCCTTGTACTTCAAGATCGACGCCAACTGTAGTAACAATGAGTTCATCAGTCATACCATCGCCACAAACAGCACAACCACTGACAGCACAGACACCGCAGACACCACTCACGCCATGCACTCCACTCACCTCACCGGTTGTCTCCCTTGCGTACTTTGAGAAGAGTGTCGAGAGTGACAACCGGTGTTGGCAGCTGTCGTTTCACGTGTGTTAGGAGTTCTAACTGCTGACAGGTGTTCATCTGCTGAGTAGGGATATCCTCCTATCCTTACCCAACGGACCGTCCGTTCAAACGTCGGCACCAATTGGTCACTCGTTTCACTCATTTTGTATTACTTCACAAACTGGTCAACGAATATATGGCGGCAGTTATGTCTTCAGTCACTCCAATGTGATCCCCGGCAACACTGCCATCAATGGTAGCAATGGTAGCAGTGATGTCAATACGGGTGTTGAGATATGTTGGTCTCGCAACCAACGCAACTGACATGCCGGTGAACACCTGGTTGACATGGCGACAGACCTCACCACACACCAATCCCCACTAACATTAAGGGCAACCTAATCTACACAGAGAGTCTACCGTTTACCACCAAAAGGCAAATGCATTCAAATTGTTTTCCCAATAATCACCTCAAGTTAGTATTGATATACATTGTATTAATACATTGATTATATGATTAATTAATTGATTGCTTTTAAAGATGTCAACCATAGGCAGCAGTTGTGTGCCTGCGATCCAAGTGAGGTCACGTGTGACCACTTGACTCACTACAAAAGTGATGAGCATTTTGTGATAACAATACTGAGACCGTTGTCTACTCTACCGCTCTTTGATTATTCATTGCGTCGACTGTTTAGCCAAGTGTTAAGTGTTGACCAGTTTTTGCTCTGTTATTGTTGTGCGTTAATTGAGACACAAATATTGATCATAAGTAGTGATTACTATGTGTTGATGTTAGTGGCGG